TTACAAACGGATAAAGATGAGGATACTCAGCTGAAAGACGATTTAGTCTCAGCTAGGAAATACACTTAAGCAGATATAAGTAAAAAGAATATCAGATACCAATCTCTAAAAATGGGAGGGGCACTACAAATGTGAGAGGCTGGCAGAGCTGGAACCTTCCCACAGCCCTCCCCCAAATCTCCGATGCGCGTTACGGGTTCCAGGACAGAATATATCTCTTTCAATAAACTTTATCCAAGTATTTTTTATGGATATATATACTTTCTACATAAATGAAGCCAAATGAAAATTAAAGTTTCATTATCAGAACAGTAACAATTCCCCATCTATATTTTAAGTAAAATGACACAATTTGCAGCTTCTAGTTAACAGTTTTAAGAAAACGTTCACAAAGAGTTAATTCTGCTTAATGCAAGGAAGAAACCCATCTCCTAGGACAGGGAAGAGGATTTACCCAAAATTATTTACACAGCCCTAGACAGTCTCTCCCCCGCCCCTCCTCCTCTTGTTTTTCCCTCTCTCACCCCTCTCCTTTTCTTTCAGCTTTTAGGGTGAAATCCTCACTGACCAGACATTTTTTTAGTCAATCTCTTTAAGCTATAAAAATTTCATGCACATTGACTGAATAAAGGTATATCCATATAGAGCCAAAACACCCAATGTGAGTATTTCAGGCATTTTTATTTAATAAATAACTTCAATAAACAGCATTGTAAAAAGTGAACTGTTAAAATTAAAAGGCACTTAAAAGAATGTGACTAGTAGGAAACCCAGGGGGAACTCCGTGAGCAGTGAATGCACGTGGTCTAGCGTTAGCGCGCTAACTCCAAGCACTGCATGAGTGATGGCTACTGCCTTCGCCACGGGACGAATTCACGTGCTCGTTAAAAGGCAAATGTACAGCTAAACAACAACAAAAAAGAACTGATAAACAGAGTCCTACCCACAACTGCAAACAAACGCATGATTAGAAGAGGTGATAAAAAGCACCAGGCTTTAAACAAAATAAAATGAGTAAGATAAAATAAATTCACCCAAAGGTCCCCAATTCAGCAAATGCTGTGTAAATTAAGGCCTTTATGTAAATAATGCTAAATCAAGGACTTTTTTGCAGAAAATTTCCCAATACTTTTATCCAAGGCTTGAATTTAAAAAGAGAAGGCATAAAAGTTACCCAGAGCAAGTAACTCTTAAAATGGCACACAGGTTTTAAAGCTATGTTTTCCCTTCCTAACTCTGACTTTTCCCCATGGCCTTTGCAGACCTAAGATTTCAAAATTATTTTACATCAGTAACTCTCAGCATCCTAATCTCTCAGATATGTCACCAGTCATGTCTAACAGGCAAATAGCAGGAGAGAAAATTTAAAACAGTTCTTACCAGCTGGCAGGACATTAACTCTGGATTCTGTGTAACTGAAAACGGACATACCCGCAAAGCTAAAAATCAGGTTTAATGCGTGCTTAACAAACCCTCATCAGACTCATCCCTTCAACCGCTGCCCCTCCAATCCCATCAGGAATCTCACTGAATCCAACAGAAGCTGGATCCCAGTCAGGAGGAGAGGTCAGAGAGGCACGAGACCTCAGCTCACAAGGACGCCCATTCCTGTCTCAAGTCTCTTGTCAGTCCCTGGCATTGATTGTAACATTATTTTCAAAATAATAAAAAAAATCTTCAAACTATACATATTGTACATTTTCAGAATGTGCACCTGAGGGCGGCCCGGCGCGCTCCAAGCCCTCGCCGTGACCGCAGGGGCTGCGCTGCACCCAGTGCTGTGGCTCACGAGACAGGGCTCACTTCCCCTCGTACTTGGGATTGACCACAGTTGTCACGGCGCTCTTATAAATAGGATTTTCACCCTAAAAAAAGGGAGAAAAAAGATCAGCCACTCTACTAAAGTCATGCAGTGTTATTTACAAACAACACTGAAAGCTACAATCATTTTCAGAAGTTGCTTCCATTTTATCTGCCCAGATATCACACTGTTTTTAAAAAGGCATTAATTAAATTTAGCACCAAAATTAAAAATGAAAGCTGTGCTCTCAAGTCTGAGGTGCCCCTGTCACCAGGCATCATTTCTGAATCCCTTCCTCCACTGGCAGGTATGCAGTGACGGCTTCTCCCTTTTAAACTGGTTTTGAACGTATTACAAGGAAGAATTAACTCTCCTCTCATCAGCTGCCTGCCCCTCAACCCTTCACTGTGCACAGAGCAGCCTGACAGTTCCCAGGATGCCTGACTTCATCTCTGCGAGGAGGGTGATGACACTGCTGGGAGCTGGCTGAGGCTGTCGGTGCCACTCAGGGTAGTGCCTCCTGCCAGCCATCACGCTGCCTAATTTGCTTCAATAAAAATAATTATTCTTTATGAAATAACTGTTATTTTTTGATATCGTATTGATGAAATGTTTTATTTTTACTGCAATACTATATTTTACTAAAGAGTACTGAACTCAAGCCCAGTAAATGACTTCAAGCCATAAACACAAGCTCTTTCAAGATCCAAAATATACCAACAAGAAAATAACATACATCCCACACTCTTACTATGTTCTTAAGAAACTCCTTACGCTGAGTGGCACACTTCAGTGTCTGCTACAGCACTCCTATCCCCTGTACTAGGACGTCAGGTGAGAGATACAGCCAAATAATCCTACAGCAGAGGAAGTGACAGTACAAATCCGACAGAAACATAGAACATTAAGTTTTTAGGAAAAAAATTAAGATTCTGAAATGCTGTTTAGCTTTGTATCTTATTGTAGAACTATCC